TTTTTTTTTTTTTTTTTTTTTTTTTTTTTTTTTTTTTTTTTTTTTTTTTTTTTTTTTTTTTTTTTTTTTTTTTTTTTTTTTTTTTTTTTTTTTTTTTTTTTTTTTTTTTTTTTTTTTTTTTTTTTTTTTTTTTTTTTTTTTTTTTTTTTTTTTTTTTTTTTTTTTTTTTTTTTTTTTTTTTTTTTTTTTTTTTTTTTTTTTTTTTTTTTTTTTTTTTTTTTTTTTTTTTTTTTTTTTTTTTTTTTTTTTTTTTTTTTTTTTTTTTTTTTTTTTTTTTTTTTTTTTTTTTTTTTTTTTTTTTTTTTTTTTTTTTTTTTTTTTTTTTTTTTTTTTTTTTTTTTTTTTTTTTTTTTTTTTTTTTTTTTTTTTTTTTTTTTTTTTTTTTTTTTTTTTTTTTTTTTTTTTTTTTTTTTTTTTTTTTTTTTTTTTTTTTTTTTTTTTTTTTTTTTTTTTTTTTTTTTTTTTTTTTTTTTTTTTTTTTTTTTTTTTTTTTTTTTTTTTTTTTTTTTTTTTTTTTTTTTTTTTTTTTTTTTTTTTTTTTTTTTTTTTTTTTTTTTTTTTTTTTTTTTTTTTTTTTTTTTTTTTTTTTTTTTTTTTTTTTTTTTTTTTTTTTTTTTTTTTTTTTTTTTTTTTTTTTTTTTTTTTTTTTTTTTTTTTTTTTTTTTTTTTTTTTTTTTTTTTTTTTTTTTTTTTTTTTTTTTTTTTTTTTTTTTTTTTTTTTTTTTTTTTTTTTTTTTTNCTCTGGACCTCGACGGCGTCGATGTGTGCCTGCCATCTCAACTTTTCATCGAACAGGAGGCCGAGGAACCGCACCTTCTCCACGTACCTCACGGGTGTGCCCCTCAGGCAGAGTTGAGGGTGGTTATGGGGCCTCCTCAATCTGCAAAAGTGAACACACACCGTTTTCGAAGTGGAAAAGGTAACCCCGGTTTCCTCGGCTATAGCAGCCACATGGTTTATCGCCGACTGCATCCACTCTTCCGCTTCTTCTTCGGTCGCGACAGGGATCGATGGCGTCCGCCCGTTTTTGATTTCCCATTTGGCGCAGAGCGCCCTCGCCTTTAAGTCAACAGGAGGCCTACCGTCTTAGCCCTATTTGTTGTACTGTTCCTAAGCCGTTGCCGGCTCTTTACAGTATTTTTTGGCTTTGCTTCTGTATTGCTTTTTTATTAACGACGGAAGCGTGCGAACTTGGGGGTCAGAGAGAATGTGTCCAAAAAAAAAAAAAAAATAAATAAATAAATAAATAATTATCCATCTTCCCGTCCCACCACCACGGGTCCGCCCGGGACACTGTTCCTAAGCCGTTGTTCGGCTCTCTACAGCGCCCAAGCGGTCGGTGCGGCAGAACAAGGAAAAAAAAAATTACTACTATAATAATAATAAAAATAAAAGGACACATTCCTCTCCCCACTCCTGTTCTTTTTGTACTCTGAAAACGGTCGCATCTCCATTCCACCTGCCGAGCTCTTCGTCACTATTATTAGTGTCCGGGATGGGCCTCGCGGAGGCGGCTCGTAGGGATATAATAATTCAGGTGGAGGAGGCATCGTATATTCTTCGTTAGTTGTATTGTATTCTCTTGTTCCCTTTACTTGTTTTTCTTGTTGCTTCCTGTTTTTCTTCTTTTGTGGGCCCACACATTCACTAACATACACTAGCACACGCGCGCGAACACACAAATCACAGTCACGATACGATTAAAAAAAAAAATTAATAATAATAATAATAATAATAATAATAAATGAATAAAATAAAATAAATTAATTAAATAAATAAGAAAAATAAATAAGAAAATTTGCCCCACCACCACGGGTCCGCCCAGGACACTGTTCCTAAGCCGATATTCGGCTCTCTACAGCGCCCAAGCGGTCGGTGCGGCAGAACAAAGGAGGGAAGAAAAAAAAAAAAAATCCATCTTCCCGTCCCACCACCACGGGTCCGCCCGGGACACTGTTCCTAAGCCGTTATTCGGCTCTCTACAGCGCCCAAGCGGTCGGTGCGGCAGAACAAAGGAAAAAAAAAATCCATCTTCCCGTCCCACCACCACGGGTCCGCCCGGGACACTGTCCCTAAGCCGTTATTCGGCTCCCTACAGCGCCCAAGCGGTCGGTGCGGCAGAACAAAGGAAAAAAAANTGGTTGGGTCTTTAATCTTATTTCTTTTCATAAGATTCGTAAGCTGCGCGCTTTTCCCAACCTTTTTCTTCCTGGAGACCACTTCACTCCAGGTCTCCGCTGTTGGTGTTTCTTTCTGTCGCTGTTGTGTTTTCTTATTTTCCACTTTCTGCAATGGTGATGATTGCTCCGTGGGTTTTTTGTTGTCCATTATAGATACTACTCTGCGCAGTTCATCCAGAGCGGATGTAATCTTGCTTTCTTCTACCGAAGAAGAAAGCTGGGCATTTTGTATGCAAACTGTCTGGATTATACCCAACAGCTTGCTAACCCTTTCGCTTACAAACTGCGCAGCAGGTTTAGTGCACTTGTTGCTGGGGTCGATTAAGTACTGATTAATTTCAGTACAGAGTCCAAGAGCATCTGAGCATGTTTTTTCATGCCCAGCGCTCAGGGGGACCGACCGAACCCCAGACACAAAGGAGGCATCACCATTACTGAGTTCTGCCATTTACAGTGTCTATAATTGTCACTCACTGATGGGGAGGGAGAATGAGGTCAAAAAGAGATAATAAATGAGGGCAATGAGGCATTAAAGATCTAGGAGCGGAAAAAGGGATGGCAACTGAAAATGAAGAATTCACTAAATGGGAAGGAGAGAGGCTAAAGATGTCAAAAGAGAAATGACAATTTAAACGAAGAATAAAAGGTAGAAATGAAGGGACAGGAGAAGAGATGACAAGATGACAATCAAAATGAATAAAGGAATGAAGTTTAAAGGCCTGGAGTTGAATAATAATATAATCATGAAGTGAAACAGGAAAAGATGCCAACAGAAAATAATGAAGCAAGTAAAAATGACAGAAAAGGTAAGGTGAACAATAAGTGAAAAAAAAAAAAAAAGGAGAGAGCAGGGAAGGGTGGGATGACAAAAGATGTCAGGAAGAGGAGTAAGTAATAGGATGCCATGTACGGTAGGAATCAGAAGGCTGAGGAAGGTGTGAAGAATAGGAGTGAGCGGTGAAGGGGAGAATGACAAGAGATGTCAGAAATGCTAAGTGAAGAGTAAAGAATATTTAGATGACACATACAAGGATATAAGAACAGTAGTGATGAAGAATGAAGAATATGATAAAGCGGTGAAGGGGAGGGTTAAAAGATGCCAGTAGAAGAAGAATGATGCCTTAACTTCGCAGAGGGAAATTTAGGCCTCTGAGGTTGGCTAGCCCGTAGGCGTCAGCCACGTGCTGAATTACGCGTGTTATTATATTAATAAGCAATAACTTTCGCTTACCTTAACCAATTTTCACATACGATACCTCATTGGAAAGCTGGTGACGAGACGAATCTTATGAATTCATTCGCTGGCAAAATTTCTTTCTGCAACCGCTCGAACAAAATGACGTTCACGGAGCATTTGTGGACACGTCTGCACCCGATGAAAGCTCGATAACAGGAGGCCTACCAGCGACGACCTGTAAAGCCGCCGTGGAAACCGTCCTGTAACACTGTGTGACGGCGAGGAGGGCCGTGCGTTGAGCGCGCTCCAGCACTGCCCAGTCCGCTGCGCGTAACTCGCGGATCCACGCAGGAGCCGCGTATAGCATCACGGACTCGCACAGTGCTGTGTAATACACTTGTCGTGTTTTGTACGATGCCCCCCATGAAGCTCCGCTCAGAGAGCGGATTGCCGCGATTCTAGAGGGCACTCTGTTCTTGATGGCGGTCGCGTTGACACCCAATTTAAGCCCTGGTGTCATAGATAGTCCAAGGTAAGTCAGGGATTCCGGGCTTTTTATCGTCTCACCGTCTATACGAATTACTGGCGGTGAGCGAATGTTGAGCTTTCCCTTCAGCAGCATTAGTTCCGACTTGTGCGCGGCCAGTCGGAGTTTATTCCTTTGGCACCAGCCCTCTAGTGCGGTCACGGCTTGTGCGCCTTTACGCTCTAATTGCGCCTTAGTGTCGGCCTGGATGATGACCACTAGATCGTCCACGTATGCTACGGGGGTTAGACCTACTCCGGATAAATCTCTATTCCACTGGCTTCTCTTGGCTTTACGGAGTTCCTTACGGAAACTGCGTTTAGCCTGGTGAAAAGCCTCATGGAGAGCTTCCCTATCCGCCAGCGTGCGACTCTGTTGGAATAGCCGTCTTGCTCGCTGGGCCGCTTTTTTCTTAACCGCCACATCCTCCGTCCACCATGCGGGAGCCTGACTGGCCACAGCGCTCCGATCGAGTTTGGAAACGCCATGGCTTAGGATAGTGGACAGAACTGAAACTTTGTCTTCGATCTCTTCTGCGGTTGCGGCAGGCCACAGAAGTGTGTCTTCTACCTGCAAAAGTTCGCCCCCCACGACAAGCTTTAGCTCACGGGTCGGTATGCTGTTAACTTTTATCCGTTTCGGTCGGGTGCTATGAAAGGGGCTCGACCGTGGATCCAAATCAATTCGCAATAAGGCGTGATCGCCCGTGGTGGCCGTCATTTCTATATCGAAACGACTGACCCGCTCATACAGAAATGTTGACATTAATGTCAGATCAATCGCAGAGCTACCCTGTATAGCAGAGTAAGTGACAGGGGATTCCTCGCTATTCAACAACATCAACCAGTTGTCGTTGACGAAATCTAGGATTGTTTCCCCTCTCCGATCACAGCCCGCGTCCCCCCAGGCAGGATGATGGGCGTTGAAATCTCCACCTATTATGACGCATCGATCCCTGTATTTATGGACGAGTTGCTGCAGCTTAGTAACATCGTGCACGATGTCCCTTCTCCTGTCACAGTAGACCGACCCGACGACAATCTCCTCTTCTTTCCAGCGTACCAGGCAGCACGCCAAGTCATCATCGGACTCCGGTAGCAAGACGACCTTGATACTTTTATTAAGCACGTAGACCGCCGCTCTAGGTCGCGCTGTCCTGTTAGCTTTGACAACTCTGGCCTTCAGTCCCATGGCTCTGTCTATTCCGAGCTCCCATGGTTCCTGAGCCAGGAAGAGGTCAATCTTCTCTCATTCGGCTATGATGCGGGCTTCAGCATGAACAGTCTGGGAGCTGTGACAGTTCAGCTGCGCGATTTTTAACGACGGTGTGGAGGTATGTGGCGGGCTAATCATACTTCCATTTGGACAAGGGTCTGCGGTGATGATTCATAATCAGTGGCGCACATCACGCCCGCCACCGCTCTGATCTGTGCTTCACAATACTGTGAGCCTGCGCGATGATTGTGAGCTTTGCCTATACGTAGGCAGTTCGCGCATTTTAGGTTTTTGCTGCTGCATTTGCGGGTGTCGTGGCTATCAGCGCAGACCCCGCAAGTGGGACCTTTCTTGGAACATGCCGATGCCACATGCCCGTACGCCTGGCAGTTGTAGCATCTGGTAACTCCCAGATACTCCCTAACTGCACACGTCTGATAGTCGAGGTTAACGCGACCTCGACCGATGGCGGATTTCAGCGTCTGCGGGTCGACCTCGACGACCCAAGACACGAATTGGGCGTCTTTTCTGCTAGCCCCGCCGTATCTCACTGTGAAGAGGGGTCGGACGTTTTCTTTAGTCCATACTCCCTCATCACGATTGTTTTCAACTAATTGCGTCGCAATTTCTTCCGGCTTATCCTCCTTCGGTACTCTCAGTACCATGAGTCGAGGATTCCTCTTCCCTACTGCGCGGGCCTTCAGACCAGACTGGCCAAGGGCGGCGTTTTCAAGGATGGCCTTACAGTCATCCTCCTTTTCCCAGCCTTATTCTTCCTGGAGACCACTGCACTCCAGGTTTCAGTTGCTGGTGTATCTTTTTGTTGCTGTTGTGGTTTCCTATTTTTCACTTTCTGCAATAGTGATGATTGCTCTGTGGTTTCTTTGTTGTCCATCTTTGATACAACTCGGCGCAGCTCATCCAGAGCTGATGTAATCTTGCTTTCTTCTTCAGTAGAAGTAAGCTGGGCATTTTGAATGCAAACTGTTTGTTGCAAACCTAAAAGCTTGCCAACCCTTTCGCTCACAAACTGCGCAGCAGGTTTAGTGCATTTCTTCTTGGGGTCGATCAAGTACTGATTAATTTCAGTACACAGTCCAAGAGCATCTGAGCATGTTTTTTCATGCCTAGTGCTCAGGGAGACCGACTGAACCCCAGATACAAAAGACGCATCATTATTCATGAAGTCTTCCATTTACGGTGTCTATAATTGTCACTCACGAAGGATGATAAAAGATGAAAAGGATTCTGATGCGATGGGGAGGGAGAAGGAGGTCAGAAAGAGATAATATTTAAATGATAAATGAAAACAATGAAGGCATTAAAGTTCGAGGGCTGGAAAAGGGATGACAACTGAAATGAAGAAACGTGAAGAATACTCGAAATGAGAAGGCAAAAGATGTCAAAATGGAATGACAATTTAAACGAAGAATAAATCAGTAGAAATGAAGAGAGGAGAAGAGATGACAATAGATGACAATCGAAATGAATAAAAGCATGAAGATTTAAAGGACTGAGGTTGAAGAATAAAATAATGTTGAAGGAAAGCGGAAGAAGTGCCAACAGAAATGAAGATAATAATGAAGCAAGTAAGTAATGGTATAGAGGGGAAGGGGAGGGACAAAAGATGTCAGAATGAAGAAATTTCAACAGGAGGGAAACTTCACTAGGGATATTCTGGCCTCCAAAGTTGGTCAGCCCGTAGGCGTCGACCACGTGCTCAATTAACGTATTATTTAATTGACAATAACTTTGGCCTACCTTAACCAATTTTCAATTGTAATAGCTCATTGGAAAGCTGGTGAGGAGACGAATCTGCTGGAATCATTCGTTGGCAACATGTGTTCCTGCAACCGCTCGAACCAACTGCCGTACACAGAGCACTCGTAAACACGTCCGCACACGATGAAAGCTCGATGCCAACTCGACGTACTCGCTTCGGCGGTACATATACGATTACATATACTGTATTGGAACGATACAGAGAAGATTAGCATGGCCCCTGCGCAAGGATGACACGCAAAATCGTGAAGCGTTCCACATTTTTTTGTACTCGCTTCGGCGGTACATATACTAAAATTGGAACGATACAGAGAAGATTAGCATGGCCCCTGCGCAAGGATGACACGCAAAATCGTGAAGCGTTCCACGACTCTCGATACTGTTAAATAGACGGTACGTGTGTCTTCCCTTGGGCGACGTTTCTCATCGGCGTTGCCATTCATTCGTCAGCCAATAGGCAATTTCCTCTTTCAATTGGACGGGTATGCAGGTACCCGTTGGTTTGTTCCCAAGCAGAACACGCAGCTTTTGCCTGCAGGTCCAATGAGGGTCGCCCGGCTATCACGTTCAAAGCATCCGTGGATGCCGTCCGATAAGCCTGCGTGACGGCCAACCAGGCCGCTCGTTGTGCACTGCGAAGCTTTGCCCAATCTGCTTCCCGCAGCCCTCTTGCCCACGCGGGGGCAGCGTAGAGCAGGACGGATTGATAAAGTGCCGAGTAATACGTCTGTCTTATTCTCCAACTAATTCCCTACGCTGCTCCACTCAGGGCCCTGATAGGCTTCAATGGCTCTGCCGTCTATTCTGAGTTGAGGGAGCCTATTAGGAGCATTAGCTCCGTTTTTTCAGGGGCCAGCTGCAACCATACTCTCCTGCACCAGTTACCCAGCACGGTTACCGCGATCTCTCACTGGGCTTCGAGGGCCCTATAGTGTCCGCCTGGATGTTTACCACAAGGTCATCCATGTAGGCCAGTGCCGTAAGTCTTGCATTCTCCAATTGTATAAGGGCTTCATCGAATAGGACGGACCACAGGTACGGACCTAGTACAAGAGCCCTGGGGAACCCCCATCTGTACATTCCTGATGCAGTCAGCGCCATATTCCGAAAGGGTCACATGCCGTCCTCTTAAATAGCTGACAATCATGGCACACAGATCATTGTCAACATTTCGGCGGAACAACACATCCAGCATGGCGGTCACCACATGCGATCGAATTCTTTCTTCACATCAAAGAAGATTCCAATTACATATTTGGACGTCGCAGTTGAAACACGGTCAGCTATTTCGCGAAAGTACTACGCCCCGGCATGCCACCCGTATATACGACATGCGAAGCTTTGCTAGAATCAAATGCTCTAGCACTTTCCGGTAGAAGGAAATCATTCGGTAAGATGACAGTTGATTCGCAGGTCTGCCAGTCTTCAGGAAAGCGCTTTTTTTCCACGTCGCAGGGAAATATCCCACTTTGAGGCAATCCGCCGAAAACTGATGTATATATGGTGTTATAACGTCTTCACATGCCTTAACTACAGCCGCTTCGACTCTGTCCATTCCTGGAGCACGGCCGGCTCTCAGTTTGCAAATGACGCTGGAAACTTCTACTGTCCATGGGGTGGTCATGCCATCTACTGCAATCGTCTCTGCTCTTCTTATAGCTGTGTGCTCCGGCCCATCACTTGCCATTTCATCAGGCGGAAAGGCATCCTCGAGTAATACCAACCCAGCGGCAGTGAGCCCTAGTTGCTCACGGCCAAAGGATTCCTCAGCCATCCTACTCGTATTTTTCCCACGAGCCACTTTAGCGTGCAAACCCCATTTGTCAACCTTGTCCCCCTCTTCCCCAAATCGTCGCCATTCTTTTCTCTTCGATCTTCGAAGCTCCTTTCGAAATGACTTTTTGGCATGTAAATATGCTCTCTTGAGGTCTTCTCTTTCTGTCATCTCGCGACTTCTCTGAAATAGGCGCTTCAAGCGCTGAGCTGCTGCTTTGCTTTCCGCAACTTCCCTGGTCCACCAGGCAAGCCCAGTATCGACGTGTCACGACACATCCTATCCGGTCCCTCAGTCAACGCCGTTGTAAGAATGGCTACTTTGTTATCAATATCCTGAATATTGCTTTCCGCAGGCCACAGAAGGGTTTCTTCTTCTTGAGCTAAATCGCCACGGACCAAGTTTATCAGGTTTGTAACATTGACTCGATCTATCCGAATTCGCGGTTTTTGTTTCTTGCCTGGGTGAGACCCCCTCGACTTCAGATCTCCTTCAGATTCTCTTAAATATTTCGTCAAACCATTCTGTGGTCGTCATGTTTACATCATATAATTTCTCTAGGAATGGTAAAATAGACCACCAAATTTGAGACTATAAATATTCAGTTGGGTTTTTACACGAATCACATTTTCATATTCCCCTTTGTTCGTGACTCTTTTTTTTCCATGCCTCTTTTGATTTTATAGACGAACATTTGAAATGGAAATTGTCTAGGCATACAGAACAGCGAGAAGAATCCGCTTCTGTACAAATTTCAGTGCAGAACAAACAAACTTCCGCCGGCTTGCGTGATTGTCTGAGGATTCTGAGCATTTGGGTCCATTTTCGTGTTCACATAGGGTCACGTTTCAGAGCCCTATTAATTCACACAATTTGTTCCACGAGATTTATTGAAATTCGGATTCCTTTTGATAATGGAAGGTATATTTGAAAGAATTACTATACGAATGAAAACTAATAAAGCCACGAATAAAACAAAAATAAAAGGTAACGACGTCCCCTCCTACTCAAGTCATAAACCGATAACCGTTTGTAACCCTTATAATTGATAGTTATTTAATTTTTTATTACTTTAGTGAAATATTTCGAAATGATTTACTGCAGAGTACTTAACAATAATAATAAGTTAGTAACATATATATCATGCTTAATACTAACATTAACACAAAACAAAACCAATATACAAACTTTCTGTACCCCAACGAACACATTTAAGGAATGAACTGTATTAAAAGGATCGTTTATGCTCTGCTACCATATGTGATGATACTGGTCAGTGTTTTATGATCAGTAAACAACGTAAATTCTTGGCTTTCGAGATAGATTCTGTACTTATCTAACGCAAAACTTATCGCTAGGGCTTCCAGATCATAGGCCGAGTAATTTTCTTCGAAACGCTATAGTTTACGTGAGGCGAAGGCTGTTCGCGCGGCTTCGCGGATGGTCGCTTTCTGGGCTTGGCCATTACCCATGGGTTTTGGTCTCTACTAGTCCTTTGTTTTGGTCGTCCCTCGGACTTTTGTCCGTTGGGGTTTGTAACTTCTTTATTTTGCCAACGCATGGCGTTAGTTCGTTGACGATTGTTTTCACAGGCGAAAAGGACGTTGACGTGTTTGCAGTCTGTAACTCTGACGCAATTCTATCAAACGCGGGAGTCAAGGCAGCGACTATTGCACTTACATGCTGGTCCGGAAGGGTATGGGTCCTATTAATGGTCGCTGCCAGGTGGATATTCTCAATTGCAAGCTTTTGAAGCAGGCTGATAATTCGATCTCGCAAACATAATAGCTGGCTCTTTTTTGGGACATACGGGGCGATGTGGCCATAGTCCTGGCATTTATAGCACCTAGTAATGCCAACATGCTCTCCCACCGCGCACGGCGGTAGTTCGACGACCCACGACACAATTGGGTTGGTCTCCCGAGGGCCGCTGCCATAGCGTAATGTATAAAGGGGCCTAATCAAGTCCGCAGGCTCCTCCAACGAGTTATTGGCGACTATTTCTTCTTTGAGATCGCTTGCGTTGGTTTCCCTAGGCACTCGCAGGATTAGAACCCGAGGGTTCCTCTTCATAAACCCTCTTGGGTTAAGGTCTGTTTCTTGGAGTTTCTTGAGTTCCGCGGCTTAGGCAGAAACAGACTCAACTCTTATGGCCACGCCGTCCCTGGCGGTGGCTCTTATTCCGTCAATACGGATTTTTGTTATCCTGGGGTTCAGGTGCTCCTTAACCTTTTTTAGGAGGTCAGACTGCTCCATTCCATTTATAGGATCCACTAATACGAGGCTATCCTGTGCCTCTTTGGCCTTGCTGATTTCTGTCAATGAGATCCCTCTTTCTTGGCGTGGAGCTTTTGTCGTCTTTTGAGGAATTTGGGGCTGAGGTTGGGTCTCTGTTTGTGGGGTATAATATCCGTCTGGCTGTTCACGCGTGCGAGGAACCAATTTATTCTTTAATTTATCATTAATTTTTTAATGGCCTCGCATAAAAAAAGGAAAAAATAAAATTAACCTTTACTCCTTTAGACGAGTTTTAAAGAAAAAAATATAATGGAAAAAAGGTGAAAAAGAAGATAAAAATCCACTACTGAACTAATTATTTTTTAATTGAAAAAAAAAACATATTTACGATAATAGTCTCTGTAACAGGGGAACAGAAAAAGGTAACAACGAAAATTACCGTCTGCTATGAAGAATTCTTCGATCTTGCATGTACGGCGTGAATTCCTCTGGTCGTGTTTAAGACAACTGGGAGGACCATTGAAGCAAAAAAAAGATACCTCTATCGAGTTCTTTTTTTTAATTGATCAGCTGCGTTGTCCCCTACTCTTGATGCCCAAAAAAGAACAAAAATTGTTGTGACGTCTAGTGAGACTGACTCTATTATAATGGAGCTCCCATCTAATAAAAGTGCGAATCTCACAAAGTCACACGCGGTTTAGGCGATCGTCGCTTTCTAGGTTTGGCCGTTACCCACGGGTATTCGCTGACTGTTTCCCATTGATCTGCTTTTTTGCGTTCCTGCTTATCGCCTGCCTGTTGCGCTGTTGATTCAACTGCGCTAGGTTTTTCAGACGGGCGGTAAGCGGCAGGGCTTTTCCTCCTTCTACTAGGCCAGGTTACGGTCTTCACTGGCGCGTCATTACTTTGGATTTGGATTACACATTTTTAAGTTCGGAGACTACACTTGGGGACAGGCCCAAATTAGGTGATTTCTTAAGCTCGTCTGCAATGCTCTTTATAGTGGGCAGAAGTGCTTCGGCGACGGCATCGGCCGTGCCACGAGCATCTTGCGTTGTTTCTCTTTCCTTAATCTGGTTTAGGCCTTTAAGATATACATTTTCGCAAGCTAGTTTATGAAGTACCGCAACAAGTTTATCCGTTTCGGCAATCAAAAAAGCTGCCGCCTGTTTCGGGCATCTGCTGGTCGGGTCTATCATTAACTGGGCAATATGTGCTCTTATTTCATTAGTCATAGAAATGGCTTCATCATTATTCGTGTCATGGTCCTTATTTGTGCTATGTTCCTGATTCATTATTGGGCTGTCCGGCTTTCCTGTTTTGGGTGATTGATGATAGAACCAAGAAAGAAATGAAAG